AATTTGAAAAGGTCAATTTAGTAGACATAGCCTAAGATCGCTCAATCAATTACACCTCAAGGCTGAATGGAGTTCTATGACAGAAGTGTTCAAAATATTGTCAGGTTAATGTTCCCAGATTAAATAACACGTAAGTCAGAGTATTCTATATAATAACAAATGTGAGTCAGTGCCTTGGCTCACAACCTCTAAAAGAAAAACTGGGGAACTGCTGGCTAAAAAAATGAACCCGACATCATCACAAGTCACTGCTAGAAGGCTGAAAATCTGTCAATTTTTAATCTCCTCCTGTTCATATTCAGAGGATTGGAGGTGTAATCTTTGAGTTGCCCATGTGTGATATGGCAAGAATACCTAGCAAAGATTTACCATGTGTATAAGAGTAACACGTTTCCCTTAAACTCTTCCTATTGACCACCATCTCCTCCAACTGAATAGGAATTATTTCATTATCAGGATTAATCAAGAATATGTGTACCCAGAGACAGTTTTTTATAATGCTTAATTACCTTTTCTTAAAATGCAAATATCAATAAAGGTTCTCCAAGAGATTTCTTTCGTTTATGTCTATACTGATGGTTCTCTTTTGGGAGGAGAGGACAATTTTGCCCATAAGGGTTGATTTGATGATACCCAGAGACATTTTTGGTTGCCACCCTGGGGAGAGGGGCTGCACATGGCATCTAGTGGGTAAGAGTCCAGGGATGATGCTAAATGTCCTCTAACATACAGGATGCAGCCACCGCCCCTGCAACACCCCTCCCACCCCCACAAAGAATTATTAGGTCCCAAATGTCAACAGTGCCAAGACTGAGAAACTCTATAGTCTATACATATTATAAAAACCCAATGCCTAGAATGTGTTTTCTAATTAAATCTGGACTTAACTGCATGCTTTCGGCCCAAGAATTATCTAAAGTTGAGCTCACAAGTATATTCAAACATTTACAAATACAAACCATTATAAAAATAAACCAGTGATCAAAAACAAAAATTATAAAGCCATTATAAAATGAATTCTACATTTGTCTAAGTTTCTCCAGTAGAAAAACAACACCCTTCAAAGTACAGTGGGAAAATTTAAGACTTGGAAAGTCAATCTACTCCCATTAAGACTGCTTTACAGAAAGATGCTAAGTACTCTGAAAAATAAAAAGATGCCAATTTCCATGGAAACAATCACCCTCCCCAGCTACAAGCTTTTATAGTTGCAAAAAAGGGAGCCAGAAAGATAAAGACACACATTACTAATTGCAATCTAGTTCTGTAATATTCCTTGTCAATTCAGTATCATGCTTTAATTTTGCCCTTCAAGAGAACTTACCTGCAGAGTAAGTTGTAAAAACAGAGTTTATCTAAAGGCTAACTATTTTGCTGTACAATTACTTTTTTTTTTTTTTAAGATTTTAATTTATGTATTTGACAGAGAGCACAAGCAGGGGGAGCAGCAGGCAGAGGGAGAGGGAGAAGCAGGCTTCCTGCTGAGCAAGGAGCCCGATATGGGGCTCAATCCCAAGACCCTGGGATCATGACCTGAGCCGAAGGCAGATGCTTAACCAACTTAGCCACCCAGGTGCCCCTTGCTGTACAATTACTACTGATCCAACATATCAAAGTCATGTATAATTTCAAGCACAATGAAAATGCACCTGAATCCCAAGTGTATAAGATGCTTTTTATCATTTCAGTTTCCAGAAAATAGACTGAATTTAAGCATTGTCATTTCTCTTTTCCCTAAACAAACACAAGTGATTTGATAGAAAAATGTTCACATGACTTACAATTTTGTCTGACCCATAGATCTTCTCCAACTGTTCAGCAACATCCCTTGTTCCATCTGGGCTTCCGTCATCTATGATTATAATTTCGTAACTGATTCCACTAAAATAAAAAACAAAATGAAAGTTTGTATTGTTTGGAGACCATATTCTCAAAATAAGAAAATAATTTAAAAATTACTAATTCCTCATCAGTGTAAGTGGGAATTTATTGTCATATTAATCACTAAGGAAAACTTCAATGACCAAATGAAATAAATGTCATTTAGTACTTCACCTCCAAACTCAGCGTGTTGCTGAAAAATGCTGTAATGAAGTCCTGAGATGTTAAAAAATTCTCACACAGAAAACATACTCGAGTTTAAAAAATCACAGCAGGGGCGCCTGGGTGGTTCAGTCGTTAAGCGTCTGCCTTCAGCTTGGGTCATGAACCCAGGGTCCTGGGATCGAGCCCTGCATCGGCCTCCCTGCTCAGTGGGAAGCCTGCTTCTGCTTCTCCCTCTCCCTCTCCCACTCCCCTTGCTTGTGTTCCCTCTCTCGTTGTGTCTCTGTCAAATAAATAAAATCTTAAAAAAAATAAAATAAAAATAAAAAAATAAAAAATCATAGCAACTGTATATTATATATGATAGAAATATCATAAAATTTTACTTACCTACTTTGGAAATGGAACTATAGGAACTTAATATCAATCTTGGTTATAAAAAATATTTCAAAAGTACATTTAAAAGATCTCTCAAGTTGACTGAATTGCTAAGTGAATATTCTTTTAAATTTAACTCCAAATAGATTTGAGTAACATAAGGAACAAATCAGATTTCATTTCATCGTTTTAAAAATCCTCTTTAAAATGGTGACATATTCTCTTAACACCACTATTTCAAACAGTTGTACCCATTACCTCACACTATTACATACAAAAAGCACAGAGAAATACGTAAGATTTCAACGTGCTTCAAAGTGAACATCTCTCCATTGGTTTCCCATTAACTTTGTTACAGTTTCTAGTCTAAGAACAAGCCAACACAATACTTGGTTGTATATGTTATCACTATGTTTTCCCCCACCTCAGTTTAGATTTTTTTTTTTATAATTTTATTGGAAACCTAAGAAGCAGAAAGTAAAGCACAGCAGAACTCCCACAACACTGTTTCCTCTTTGTCCATAGTAGAAACAAATATAAGGAAATCAACCAGAAAACACATTCCACTGTTAAAGGCTTAAAAAAGTCAGGCCCAGCAAACTAGGAAGAAAGCTAAACTCAGCCTGTTAAGAGCAAATACCAGGACTTCAGCTCCCCGAGGTGCTTTAATTTGGGCAACTGCTTTACAAGCCAAAATATGTAAGATGTTGATTCTGGTTGATATGCTGAAAGAGATATACTTCATAAACAAATGAAGTCATTCATTAGCAAATTATACTTTCTCTCACTTCAACGTGCCCAGAACACCTGAGGGTAAGGTATTCTAAAGGAATCCAGCTGAGCTGCTTTTAATTTGGCCACATCTGAAAAGAAAATCGTTTCCTTCTTTAACCTTCACTCGGGTTAAAGCAAGAAATATTTGAGACTCAGAGGACCAACTGAGCAAGATCGACTATATGACAATTCCTCTCATGTGGAAAGTGCTTATAGAAACCAAGATAAGATAACTAAATAAAAGAGGGAAAAGATATGAATTAAAAAAAAAAAAAACTGTGAGGAGCCATGCACATTATGATAGTTATGTCATTCAAAGAATTATAGTCAAAACAGCAATGTTTTTCACCAATTAGCATTTCCAAAAATATAAGTTTACTAAAGCCCGGGTTGACTGGGTGGTGGGGAAACAAGCACTCTCCGAATAATGCCAGTCCTAAGGCGGTACATTTTTTTTTCTTTTTGCGAGCAATTTGGTAATAACTGTCAATCTTAAGCACATCTGTTGACCCGGCAATTCCATCCTCAAGACTTTATCCCCCGCACACTAGTAAAAGTACGAACGTGTTTGTTGCAACATTGTTCTAAAGGAGCATTCACTATGTGTCCAGCACTTTTCTAAATGGTGGAAAATATGGGGTGAACAAAGTCTCTGTTTTTCATTTATAAAGCAAAAGTCAAAAAAGAAAAACAAAAAAAAAAGCTCTAGAAATAATGTGTTCACTGGGATGACCCAGTTAGTTAAATTATAAGTCATATGGAATATTATCGAATTAAAAAAAATAATTTTCCAAGTTGGTGTATGTTGATCTGGAAAGATCTTCAGGGATCTATACATGATCCCACTGGTATAACCCTAAAACAAGGAACTTCGTACTGATACCAGGATTCCGAAATTTAAAAAAATACTGTATAACACTTTCAAATTCAAACTCTAAAAGCCCTAGTTTCTAACCACCACATCAAACATCCACTAGTGACCAACGAAGTTGCCCAGCCCAGCAGCAGCTCCCTAACCCAGAGATCAAACCTCATGCTTACATAAGCACCCAGCACGGGGGCGGGAGTGAGCGTGCTCATTGAGACTCCCGGCTCCTGCCGCATCCTGACCATCCAGAAGTAGGAGTGAGGTCAAGCTTTGAACCTCGCTCCAAGTCAAAGGATGCCCAACCCTACTTTTTAAAAGAGGGGGGGGGGCGGCCGGGGGGGAGGGAGGAAGGAGGTGGTGGGAAGTGTACAATAAGGGAATGTCTCACAAACCCAAGGGCAGGAATGAACCCGAGACACGGACAGAACCCCAGAAGTATCCGCCTCTGCTTTCTCCAAGGGTGGCCTTCTCCCCAAGGATTCCCTCAAGCGCCGAAGGGAGGCCGCGCAGGGCCGCCTCGCGCCGCCAACCGCCGACACCCAGGCCGGCGAAGCCAGCTCATCTCGTTCCTCAGGGAGGGCGGCCGGGCACGCTACCTCTCGGAGAAGCTTTTCACCAGCAGCCATACGATGAGCGGTAGGTTCTCGCGCTCGTTGTAGGTGGGCAGAAGCACTGAATACTTGTCCTGTCGCGGGGCGCGCCCCTCCGGCTCCCGCCGAGACCTACGGGCACTACCGCTCGCTCCCTCGGAGGCCATGGTGGAACTGCGCGAGACGCCGGAAACGGAATGACGTCCGGCGGCGCGCGGGAAGGGGATGGGTCGGACCGTACCACATTCAGGAAGAGGGGGTACGGGCTCTTTGGTTGGGTCCTAGTTCTCCGAAGGCTCTCTTCGTGGTTCCATTGGAAATATCCAGGCACCATGAATCTTTAAAGTTGAATCTGAGGGTTTCTCCAGGAAGTGCATGTTTACTTATCACTTTTTCCTATGCTCCGTAAAAATTTTTTAGTTTATCCCAGTCGCTAGGAGACGCTAAGCCGGAAAAGGAAATGCCTTTCACGACAACTTCCGAGAGGGCCGCCATGGCTTCTAGGGAGGAGGTGCTCGCCTTGCAGGCTGAAGTTTCCCGGCGTGAGGAAGAGCTAAGTTCTCTGAAGCAGAGGCTGGCGGCGGCTCTTTTGGCGGAGCAGGAGCCAGAGAGGTTGGTTCCGGTGTCGCCCCTGCCGCCGAAGGCCGCCCTGTCTCGAGATGAGATTTTGCGTTACAGCCGGCAGCTCGTGCTGCCCGAGCTGGGCGTGCACGGACAGCTGCGCTTGGCCACCGCGTCCGTGCTAGTCGTGGGCTGCGGCGGGCTCGGCTGCCCACTGGCGCAGTACCTGGCAGCGGCCGGCGTAGGCCGCCTTGGCCTTGTGGACTACGACGTAGTAGAAGTGAGCAATTTGGCCCGCCAGGTGCTACATGGCGAGGCGCTGGCCGGCCACGCCAAGGTCTTTTCGGCCGCCGCCGCGCTGCGCCGCCTCAATTCTGCGGTGGAGTGCGTGCCCTATGCTCAGGCGCTGACGCCAGCCACGGCGCTAGACTTAATCCGCCGCTATGACGTGGTGGCTGACTGCTCTGACAACGTGCCCACTCGCTACCTAGTTAATGACGCGTGTGTGCTGGCCGGCCGGCCTCTCGTGTCAGCCAGCGCCCTGCGCTTTGAAGGCCAAATCACAGTGTACCACTATGACGGCGGGCCTTGCTATCGCTGCATATTCCCCCAACCACCTCCAGCGGAGACAGTGACCAACTGCGCGGATGGCGGGGTGCTCGGTGTCGTAACTGGGGTCCTGGGCTGCTTGCAGGCGCTGGAAGTGTTGAAGATCGCAGCAGGTCTGGGTCCGTCTTACAGTCGCAGCCTGTTGATCTTTGATGCCCTCAGAGGACAATTTCGCTGTATTCAGCTTCGGAGCCGCAGGCCTGACTGTGCAGCTTGCGGCGAGCGGCCCACTGTGACTGACCTGCAGGACTACGAAGCCTTCTGTGGCTCCTCAGCCACTGAGAAGTGCCGCTCTCTGCAGTTGCTGAGCCCAGAGGAGCGAGTTTCGGTCACCGACTATAAGCGACTTCTGGATTCAGGCTCACCCCACCTGTTGCTGGACGTCAGGCCTCAAGTGGAGGTGGACATCTGTCGTTTGCCTCATGCCCTACACATCCCTTTGCAACATTTGGAACGGAGGAATGCGGAGAGCCTGGAACTCCTAGGAGAAGCAATCCGGGAAAGGAAGCAGGGCACACAGGAAAGGGTAGCTTTCCCAGTTTATGTGATTTGCAAACTTGGCAATGACTCCCAGAAAGCCGTGAAGATCCTGCAGTCCTTGACAGCAGTCCCGGAGTTAGAATCTTTAATAACAGTTCAGGATGTTGTGGGGGGCCTCATGGCCTGGGCTGCCAAAATCGATGGAACATTTCCGCAGTACTGAGGTGGATGGGAGAGTCTGACCTGAGGCAGATGTGGATTGCCATGTTACCCAAAAGATATATTTATTTGCATTTTTTTTCCAGGAATGCATGGAAGAGACTGGGATTGTCCAATAACTGAATACATGGACTCCTTTTTATTAAGGGCTTTTTTGTTGTAATGTCTTGGATGCTGTTGTTATTAATGGGTTTTATTTTTTTTATTTTTTTATATATATATTTTAAAGATTTTTATTTTTTGACAGAGAGAGACAGCGAGAGAGGGAACACAAGCAGGGGGAGTGGGAGAGGGGGAAGCAGGCTTCCCTGCCGAGCAAGGAATGCGATGTGGGGCTTGATCCCAGGACCCTGGGATCATGACCTGAGCCGAAGGCAGTCGCTAAACGGCTGAGCCACCCAGGCACCCCTATTAATGGGCTTTAATACTGTTTCTGAGAACTGTCTTGTGTTTTCAGCACTTGAAAGATGTCTTGAACATGTGAGTTATAATGTTAAGTGACAGGATTTTGTGTTTTGACAGGTCATTTCTCTGTTCTGCTTTTTTCCCACCTCCCCCAATCAAAAAGTACTTTAAATCATCTATTTTTATGCTTGGAAAGGTGTAGTAAACTTAGTCTTCCTGAATTGATCACAGATGATATACTTAAGGTCAGTTTATTGTTCGCTAAGACATTGTTTGGGTCTTCTTTCTGTTTCAAATGATAGAATATATTCTACAGAAATGTTTAAAATGTAAATTATTTTAATTATGTGGGAAAGGGTCATTCTATTAAGTATTTGAATTAGTATCAGAGTGAGATATTTAGTAAGATAAAGGAAACCTCCTTTGTAGTCTGTCAGTTTCTCTTATAAATTGCTGATTTAAAAAAAAAATTTCTTACAGTATTGTACACATTGTATACTGTGGTTTGGCTTGCTTTGGAATCTTCAAGCCTAAGTCCCAACCTTCTGCTCTCCCCTGCCCTTTATTCCTAATCCAATCTGTTATTTTTTTTTTCTTGCTTTACTGGCCAAGTATACCAAATGCAATATTGAATTAAAGTGGAATAGTAAGCATTCTTAAGTCCTTCACGATCTCAGGTGAAAAACTTGACTATTTGGCCAATATTACTTGTTATTGCTTTACTGTAGCTACAACCCTTTATCAGATTAAAGAAATTTCCTTCCTTTTATAGTTTGCTAAGTTTTTGTTGAATTTATCAGGTGCTTTTTCTGCATTATAGGCTGCCTTTTTCTCTTTGGTTAATGCAGTGGATTACACTGATTCTATTTGGTGGCAAAACACACACACACATACACACACACACAATTTCCCCTCTCAGTAACTTCCAAGTGTACAATACAGTATTGTCAACCACATGCACATGGTGTGCAACAGATCACAGAACCTTCCATCCTGCATGGCTGAACCTTGACACCCACCAAACCACTCCCCAATTCTTCCCTTCAATTTGCCTTTTCTATTTTATTTCATCTATTTTATTCCCATATTTTATAGTAGTACACAATGTAGGTGTTTTTATGTTTACTTATTAACATTTTCATGAAATGGCAGGTCTGCGTAACTTCTAATCTATACAGAATTAAAAGCAAAGATTTGGTCGGTATCCATGGCAAGTTGAAGAATACCTGCCATGTCAAAAGGGCCTCCACTCTCAGCTGATTGTTGCGTGCAGGTCTATAATCCTCAGAAATCACGGATGTAAATGTGAAATCTTTGTATCTCTGGCTGCAGTTTTTTTAAGTTTAACAGCTTGTGGACAAGACAAAACCCTTGCTGGTCAGATTACTCAGTTTGCAACCTCTGATATAGACTCTTATTTTATCATAGAAGGATGGTATTATTTAACACTCACATTCAAAATTAGGATAGTCCTTACCTTTTAACTGTGAAACATTGTAACCCATGTTTTGAATGGGTATGCCTCAACCTTTTTTGTAAAGATGGAGCAGGTTTCTTGGACTGTTTTTCCCAAGGAGTTGTGGAAATAAATGACCGAGACCAGGAGAGGAGAGTAAAGATGGCTGGCCTGCGTCCCAGCTTCTTACTACCAGGACAAAAGCCGCTTCTGATACATACCAAGAAACAAAGGGGACTGACATGGGAACTATTTCCTATTCTAAAGACTGACGTCCTAAAGTTAAACAGTTTCAGTAGTTCCTGCAAACTTGGTTCTCAATAGGACAGGCAACAGAAGACGACAAGAGGGAAGGGGGCTTATTAAAGTAAGACGGTGCTTCTGAGAATTTTGGGGACAGCCTTAAAGCTGTAATTCCAGGAGTGATGCCCCAAACCATGCACAGAACTGACCTGAGAACACTTTCTATGCTATGCTGCCCCATCTAGCACTAGAGGAAACTGCTAGCATAGTCTCACTGCTCTCCCAGAAAGCTCAGAACTTTAGCCACTGCTCAGGGGACAGAAAGCAGAATCGCTTTACATCGATTGCTCTTCTGATTTAGTCTTCTGAGGTGTGTCTGGTAGGGAGAGCCTAGTCACATGACTCCGTCCTACCTGCAAGAGCATCTGGGAATTTGGGTCCTGACATCTACAACTGGGAGACAGAGCCCAATCTGGCATTTTCTCAAATTAGTGAAAGATTTTTTTTCCCCAAAAGTTGGGATGTTAGTATGACCGGTATCTGTTACAGGATCCAAATTTTTTTATTTGAAATTTTGTTTTCTCTGGGGATTGTGGCCAGTTTTTTTACATTCAGATGGGATTTTTAACTGGATACATAATATTTTCCTTTTCATTTAACAGACATGAAGTGTACCAGTTACTATTGTAAACTCTGGGATATAGATGAACAAGAAAAAAAAAAAAAGATGAACAAGAGATTTCCTATTTTGGAATTTACATGTAAATGGGGGGAGACAACAAATAAATTAGTGTTAAGTGTCATAAAAGAAATGAAACTGCTGTATTGGGGTGGAGATGTATTTTGGGTAGATTAATTAGAGGAAAGCTCTTTGCAGAAGGGTTAACATGAAACCCAGAACCTAAATGGTGATAAGGAGCCAGTTAGATTTGGGAGAAACCCCCCCCCCCCAACTGGGAGAAAAACAAGTGGAAAGGCCCTGAGGCAAATAAACTTACAATGTTTGAGAAACTGAAGAGGCAAGTGGGTTGTGAACAGTTGAGGAAGGTAGAACAAGGTGAGGTTTATGGAGATTGGGAACACATCAAGTAGTTGTAGACCAGAAGTTTGGTTTTTATTCCAAGTGAAATAACAGCTAACATTTATTGGGCACTTACTATGTGATTTGGAACTTGAACCCAGATGGTCTGGCTAGAGAGTCCACGCTCTAAGCAATATACTGTACTGATTCTCGGTGAGAACTTTGTACTTGTTTTATATGTTTTCACTTTTGAAAAACTTTGTACATGTTTTATATGTTTTCACCTATGCCCTAAGCTTCAGGATGAGAAGAGCTTGGATTTCAGATGCAGAAATGTACTCCGATGCACCTGGCTTGTAGACTTCTCTCTAGGGAAGGAAACCCAGAGTGAAATCCCTGGGAGCCCTCTGAGACCGATGTGTTACCTAGGTAATGTCCAGTTAATAATGACCCACTTTGGTCAAGGAAATTGAGAAATAAGGTCTCAACGTGAGCCACAGCTGGTAAATAGAAGGGTTGCCAAGGAGGGGGGTCAAAAAAGGGCAGGAAATCTCCCGAGACTGTTCCCATCGGAGAGGAGGGATTATTTGTTTTCAAGGTTGTTTATTTTTAATCAGCTGCTCCCTCCTACAGCCCCAGAGGGGCCCCTCAGAGCCTGAGGTCAGGTAAGTAGCCCAGTTTGCTCTACCCAGGAGAAAATTTCTTTGCTTTTATAGGTTGTATCTTAGGATTCCATATGTAACAGGAGGTAGCCCTGTCCAGGTAAGAATAAAATCTCATCATTTGAAATCATGCATCTGCCTTCAGGATAATTCTGGAGTCAGTTTGGAATATTAGGAAAACAATGGCGCAGGGTGGTAAAGTATTTTGCAAACAAAATGGTAAAAAGGGTTAATTCATGCCTTCGATGAACTATAATCTCTGAAGCACTCAGGATGTGAGAGAAAAGCTAATTAAGCCAGCCCAGAATTGGGGTTATCTGATAAATAGGATATCGTTTACTATGAAGTCCTATGTAGTGGTATTGATTCTGGCTTTTAATCTTCAGCCCAATTACTCAGAATGTAAAAAACAACAATAACAATGAATCATGAATTGTTCAGGTGTTTCGTTCCTTACCTTTTTTTTTTTTAAGATTTTATTTATTTATTTGACAGAGAAAGACACAGCGAGAGAGGGAACACAAACGGGGAGTGGGAGAGGGAGAAGCAGACTCCCTGCCGAGCAGGGAGCCTGATGCGGGACTCGATCCCGGGACTCCAGGATCATGACCTGAGCCGAAGGCAGTCGCTTAACCAACTGAGCCCCCCAGGCGCCCTCGTTCCTTACTCTTAATGCCATTTGTTGGACAGGGTGCTAAAGGTAAGGAAAGAGAAAAGTGTTAGGTCTTAAAATTTCCCTTTTTAACCAAGGTGCCAGAGTAGGGTGACATTGATGGAAGGTGTTTTGGGCATATTTTTAAATTAACAGTGCTTTCTTTCCCCGATGCTTCCCAGATGAGGGAGACCAGAAACGAAGTAGAATTTAGCAGCCCAAAGTTCAGATGAGTTAAAACAGTGGACTCTAAGTGCCGTAAAACTCCCAAGCAAGGTTTGCTTTATGTAGGAACAAAGGGAGGTAGTATTTTACAACCTGGACTTAAGCATCCCCTGGGGGTAAACTCTGGCTTGTCTGCCCAACAGCCTCCCCACTCCCACTTTCCTCCTCGCTGGCAGGGCTGAAAATATCCCTTCTTAGCCTCCCCTGCAGTTTTGAAGAACCTGTCCTATTTTTTTTCTTTTTAAGATTTTATTTATTTATTTGAGAGAGAATGAGAGAGGGAGAGAGCACATGAGGTGGGGAGGGGCAGAGGGAGAAGCGGACTCCCTGCTGAGCCGGGAGCCCTATGCGGCACTCGGTCCAAGGACTCCAGGATCATGACCTGAGCCGAAGGCAGTCGCTTAACCAACTGAGCCACCCAGGCTCCCCAAACCTGCCCTTCTAAACAATTTCTTCCATCAAATACAGTTCAAATCTGTTCACTTCTCACTTATCTCCACGGCTGCCACCCTCGTCAAGCCATCTCTCCATCAAATGTATAGCTTTTAGAAATACACACACACCATCAGTTGCACGGTTGAGTGCCAAGAGTGCTATAGATCTTAGGTCCTAAGATAATAAAAGGTACCTTTGTAGAGCAGGGACGACAGACTCAAATTTATGTTAATATAAGTGTCCTTGGACTTTAAGATCACAAGTTTCATTCAACATAATGAACAATAGTTAAATATCTATTTTGCACAGAGCTTAAAGGGATTTGTAAGCTCAATACCTACAGGGGCTAGCCAAATAAAGACATGAGTAAGGGCGGCCAGCAAGGGAAGGTGGTGGACCAAGAGCACGCAGCACATCTAAAGTACCGATACAGCTCTAGCCGACTTTGCCATGCAGGAATGTGGGTAGGATATTCCCAAGTCTTTCTGTATTAAGGAAAAATCTGAACATTTGTAGATCTGAAATCTGATTCTTGGAGTTTTCTGTGAAATCTTTTGATTTTAAAATGTTGAAGGGGCGCCTGGGTGGCTCAGTCGGTTAAGCATCCGATTCTTGGTTTGGGCTTGGGTCATGATCTCAGGGTCTTGAGACTGAGCCCCGCTTCGGGCTCTGTGCTTAGCATGGAGTCTGCTTGAGATTCTCTTTCCCTCTCCCTGACCTTCCCACTCGCTCTCTCTCTCTCTCAAATAAATAAATCTTAAAAAAAAATGTTAAAGATGAATTTTAAAATTCCAAAATTGTTTTACCAGTTGAAACATGTAGGCTGGATAAAGCCTTTATTATTATTATTTTTTAAGATTTTACTTATTTGTCAGAGAGAGAGAGAGAGAGCACAAGCAGGGGGAGTGGTAGGCAGAGAGAGAAGCAGACTCCCCGCTGAGCAAGGAGCCCAATGTGGGACTTGATCCCAGGACCCTGGGATCATGACCTGAGCCAAAGGCAGACGCTTAACTGACTGAGCCACCCAGGTGTCCCTGAATAAAGCCTTTAGGTTTAAATAGAAACACAAAACAAA